TTGTATTGTATGATACATGACTCTTTTATATATGCAGGTTGATGTTGAGAAATGTGTAATGAAATACTAATCAGGTTATGAGAGGATAAATACTTGCTTGAAGAACATAAAATCCTAACATTCTTGTTATTGTTTGAAATTAGATAGACATGATTTGATATGAATGGTGGCCTGCTTTGAACAGTTATCAAATTTGACAAAAGACTCAGGGAGAACAATTACACACACACCACCACCACCCCTTGTTGGGATAACAATTACCTGTGTTTGGCCAAAAAAATATCTTGTACACTTGTTCAATTGTTTTTATTTAATTCAACAACCTCAAGTCTCCTAGCCATGGGTCACATACCCGTAGTTGCTGGAGTGCAACATTAGGCTTGAGGTGACACCGTTGTGTGCATGTGTATTTCTTTGACTGTAGAAACCTGTGAAGAACAAATGTTGCATTTTCAATTGTCATTTGAGTATACCCGGTATATCACATGGTTTTATACCTAAATCATGGTCCTATTTGAAACATGGAAGCCATATTGAAAATGACTTTAATTTGATTTCATCAAGGATCAACTGGACTTGTATAATAAACTGCATCTCATATTGGCATCATCTGTAAAAATATTCCTTGAACTACTGGACCAATGGAGAAGAGATTTGGTACAATCATTCAAGACGTTCTGATTCCGTTTCCAATACTAGTATGTCTGTCAGGGCAGCCAGCTTAAATTGTGATTAAATGTATCCGAATATGGTCTCTGATTGTGATGTAATTGTTTGGGCTTTTTTACTGAAAATTAATCAAAATTCATAAAACGTTATATCTTTATTCAAAATCCAAGTGGGAACATTCAACAATATATCTACAGACTATTAGTAACTTCAGCTGATTCTATTTTTTGAAATTGTTGTTGACAATGTTGTCATTGTTAAAAGTTTCAGTTTTCTTTCTGTAAGCATCCCTTGAATTGAAACCTCGTTTGTAAAGTGTTGCATCATATTTGTATTTTCTCATGTTATAACTTTAGATATTTTTGTCGTGATTGGATGTAAATGTTACTTATCATTGTTAAATTCAATTTTAGCTTGTTTTTATTTCTTTATCTTTTGTTAATTGATTGCTCACTTGTCATGAACCTGACTTGAAATACCATCTGGAACTTTAAGTATTTCCACATGGCATGTTAAGCTACACATCTCTAAATACAATGTACAGAGATATCTGACCACAAACACCCACCAATGACATGGCATCATCAACTTGAAATTATGTAAAGATAACTAATGCTCCAACATATACCAAAATACGGACAATGCAAAAAAAATGTTTTAGCATGAAAAACACAAAGCAACATGTGTATTCACAGCCTATTAAATACTTAGAGGCACAGATGTATGTGCCTGTCCATAATATGGTAATCTCACGTATCAATTATTTTTCTCTCACTCTATGTGTACATTTCCTGATGGTGCAAGTCTTGAAACATAATTCTTCAAAACATCCCTCATTCTCATATAAACTACAAGTAGAATATTCAATATTATATACTGTATATGATCAAGTATTTGGATGCATTAGTCAGAAGAAGAATAAATTACTCATAATATTGGTGTCTATACTAGTCATACATACCAGGCTGTAATATGTGTATGCTGGTATTACATGATTATGTTTAATGAATGTGATTATTTTACCCAAACAATTTATTGTGTAACATTGGATTTTATAATATATTAATAACTTTAAGCTATGAATTTGCACTATATTACAATGTATGTGTGTGTGTGGATAGCAATGACATGAGACATATATACATTCATATGTCAGATGCATATATTTGTTATTTATTGTTGTAAATGTTCAACAGCATATCATAAGCTGGACACTGTGCAATAGTTTCACATATGTTTCATTCTGAAAAATGCATAGTAGCCTAATGTTTTTTCAAAGAATGTTGTGAATCTTGTTTCATGATAAGAAAGGCTATCAAATGGCTCTAGTAATAGGGCTTACAAAAGTTGTACAATTTTTTCAATGCATCAATTTCTAGTACATAACAGTTTGTGTTCATTAGTTTTGTGAAACTGAATCCGTTTTAAACTGGGGACATAATTTTGAATGAAGCATAATTTTCTTTGTAATTTGAATAAATATATTTTCATACTGATATCTTGGTTGTATTAATATATTCCTATGAACACTCAAAACAATCTCCTCTTAGAGAAAGGAAGCTATAGTCCAGGGTTCAGTTACCCCAAAAATAGTCAACAGTTAAGATCCATGATGATCAGGGGCCCGTTTCACTTTGCGATCGCAGCGCTACAACACTCGTAAGTCTATGTTAAACTATAGGAGTTACGATCACTTTAGCGCTATGATCGCTTTGTGAAACAGGGCCCTGGATGATAACTGATCTTTAGCAGCCTATGTTGTTACAACAGACGACTTAGGCTTACTGACCTGGTTGATGCATTGTAACTCCTGGAGTCTGGTCACTCACTGGACTGTCTGATCCAGACTCAATTGTCTACAGATCTTACTGCTTGAATATTATGAGTGTGGTGTTATACCAGAAACAAAGAAACACTGACTGACTGACTGACTGACTGACTGACTGACTGAGTTTAGTTTGACGCCGCTTTTAGCAATATTCCAGCAATATCACGGCGGGGGACACCAGAAATGGGCTTAACACATTGTGCCCATGTGGGGAATCGAACCCGGGTCTTCGGCGTGACGAGCCAACGCTTTAACCACTAGGCTACCCCACCGCCCCAACAAAGAAACAAACAACAGTTACATCACTACTGCCATTCCTCTGACATTAAAGGTAACACTGATGTTACTGAAATACTGTTCAATGCAGAACTAACCCAAACTCAGTCACTCATGATAAAATAACTAACCTAAGAAAAGTCTAAGACCAAAGGGAACCCTGGGCTCACTCCTTGTTATGGACACCGATAAGCCAAATACAACATGCTAATTTTTAAGGAGAATTAACAGGTCTGAGGTATTTAGCTATGCCTTCCCAGTGGCCAGTATTAGGAAGTAAATCAGAGAAAAGTGTATACTTGTAATTCATATGTATGTTTAAGAGTTTTCAATATTTTACTGGCAGTTGTATCCCAGTGGTAAATTTCTTTATGAAAAGTAAAATAATATATTATGACAAAGTTATGTATTTGATTGAGTTTATCGTCATAAATACATTTTACATAGATTAAAACAAATTCACAACATTTTACAAATAACCAGCATCAAGTGTAAGTTCCTGGGTAAATTTCCTCTTGGTCTCCTCAATGATGAAAACCTCTCTCTAATTCTGGTACAGTTTAGTCAGAAATTATCACCATCAGGTATATTGTATGTTTATTTACAATAAGTAGATCATGATATTTTTATAATGCTTTAACACTGAAGAACTCTATGACATAAATTCATGCATCATGTATCCAAATGAACAATGCAACAATAACAACATTGCAAACAATAAATGTTCATGGAATGAAAAAACATAGTTGGCCATATTAGTGATTTGTGTATCCACTACTTGGCACCACAAACAAAACTTGAACATGCATTTTTATATATACATCTGGGCTGCATTTGTTAGTTAGGTGTGCTGATTGTTTGGCACAGATATTTTATGAAAAAGACATCTTTGTATTTTAATTATCCTGCAACTGGAATGATAACTACCTACTACCTACAGGTTTGGAATGTTGGGATCACATACATATAGTTTTGGCAATTGATTTAGAAATTCAGATCTTTTCATTCATTTGATGCAAGTTAACACATTTATCGTCACATGATGTAAACAATGATATGGCTCAAAGTTTGCTAAGGATCACATTTTGATGACTTAAAAATAATTATCCAAATCACGGGCATGTTTGGATTTGGCTGATTGAAATATCCCAGAATATTGGGTAACCTGTGTAGGACCACAGTTTCATGATGAACATACAGGGACATGCAGTCATGGCAACAAACTACCTGAAATCCTGCTTTTGGATGTATCATGACAGAACTGATGCACAACATTTCTTACTGAGAATTGCAACAACTGAATGCACTTATACACCTCATGTGACAACTGAAGAATCAGGCAGATGCATACGTATCCTTGAAACTGTAAAATTTTGCATATCTTTGGTGTGCTTAACAGGAATGACATTCTTGACATGTTTGTGAAACTGATGCTGGTGAAATTGGACTTCATCCTCAAAAACCATAATAAACAACCTCATCGTGACAGGATTGTTGATAACTACTTACAGCACAAGCCCATTGTACTGTGCTTTACCAGACCTGAACCCTATGGAATACATGTCGAACAGGCTGACCCCGCATGCAACCCCATGGCAACTCGACATGAACTCGGCTGTGCTCTTACTTGAGAGTTGTTGTTTTAAATAATGAATATGTGTTTTGGTGAACTATTACAAATGATCCAACAGATTTTGTGTCATGTTTTGTTTGTTGGCATTGGGTGGAACATGACAGCAAACTTCTGTTCATAAAACATGCAGGGATGGCAAGTTTTCTCTGATCCGCGGATTTCGGCCAATTTTATTTCATATTGATCAATTCTGTGAATCGTCTAAATCAGCTGAACCCCCCATTCGATGACACAATGTTAAGTTTTCAGATGAAAATAGATTTTCCTGTTGCCATCCCTGAATATGTCTATATGCAATACTGTCTTTGGATGCAACATGTATTGTAACAGATGTACACCATTAGACAAGTTACCTTCTAAAGAGGTGACCCCAAGCAAACTTTGAGTAGAATATAATCAAGTCTGTATTATAATAGCATTTCCACAACTTCTCCAAGTTGTGTATATTCTAAGTATCCTCTTAAACATGTGTTCTTGTCACATGTTATGTTTTCATACCAAATATGCCAAACTGCAGTCTAGGTACAATTGATCACTGTCACTTGGATTGTAGTGCTACAGATTTAGTTGCCACAGTAAGAATATATAAGTGCCCACTGGTTTCATGGTTGTCTTCTCTCTCTCCTCCCAGGTGAGAATCCAGCATTTGTCATCATTCTGCCATATTGCTCAGTGTATTGTTTCTTTTTCTGTAACAGAGTCAACAGATGTTACTTAACAAATCAGTTTGACATTTTGTAACAATTATATTTTACGCCAATGCAAAATGTGATTTGAAATGTTTGTAAAAGGAAGAAGTATTTCTTAATTGTGTAAGAAATATGAAATATGTACCTCATACAGTTTGTCTTTGTCTTTCATGATTCTTCGTCTTTTCAGAGCCTGCAAGTGAGAAGTTGTTACATTCAGCAACTACATATCACACAAAGCAGATATCACAAAACATTACACCAAATCAGTACCATCATTTGCACTGATTTTCAGAGATACCAGAAATATACTGAATGATTCCATCCAAATGTACACTAAAAAAATTATTGGTTCCTGTACACTCTTTTGAACAAGGTGCACATATTACTACCATGTCAAACTGACACTTTACCATAGTGGCACTCTGGGAAAATCACTCACTGTGTTAACCGTGCTACATTAAAATATAATTGATAGTATTTTACTTTCATAAAGTAATTCCATTACTTTCATAGATATGAATACATCATAATATATTATGGCTTTTTTAGTGGATGGAAGAACATATACTCATTTACATCTTTTGTTAAATTTCTAACATGTACTGGGTGTACAAACCTGAAATACATTTTACTGAACTCATGTACAGATTGAGAAAATGCTTGAATATATTTTGTTATAACTTAAGTAAGACTTTGTCACCTAGCTGCATTGTAGTATTTTGGTGCATTATAGATATGCAGATTATTATTACATCATACCTTGAAAAGTTTTTATATTGTCTGATAGTGGAATAACACACATATTCCTTGAATAAATAATGCCAATCTTCCCCTCATGATAATTAGTCCAGAGCTGTTCTTGAAGATTCCAATTCACACCTGACTCCACTTAACATCAAAATATAGTAACTGGTATTATATCACTGCTTACATTAGATGGTAATTCATTCCTGAAAACTAATTACTGTTAAAACACAATGTAATGAACTTCTACTGAATTTAAGCAGAAACAACATAACAAAAGATCAATTCTTTGAGATACATGTCCTTAAAATATTGAAGCAACTCACAGTGTGTTGAATGTAAATCCCAAAAAGGATATGGAAAAGGAGAAGAAGTACGGCAAGAGCGGATTCGCTCCATCGATCCCAGGTACGCAGTACTTTGATAGGCAAAACCCTTCCAAGGGCACACATGAAGGCATTCTCAGCAGCTTGCACAGACAGGAATATCAATAGTGACAGGATATATATGTCCTGGAAAAGCCAAAAGTTTCACATATCTACAAAGTTATTTACCATAGGATGACTAGATCAGAATTCCAAATGCTTCAAGTAATGAATACACAATGCCAACTATAAAGTTTGTTGCATGCCTCAAGTAAGTTATTTGGGGATGGATTTTCATCATATTACATATATAAGGTATCATTAAGCACATACTGGTATTGATTCCTGTTAACAGTACTTCAGATTTCATGGCACTCTGTATTGATGACCTTCATAGTGGTCCATCTCCACTTAACCAATCTACATCACTAAATAATATGTAGAAACCAAAGCGTTAAGATATACAGATTTCCATTGTACTTGGCAGAGTTTGAAATTAGACATAAAATTGAAGGGGTCTTAGGTTTAGGGTGTCTCTAAACTTACATAATAAAATTGCAAATCTAGACCCATAAGTTTCAAACTTTACTGGTTACTTACCAAGTAGGTCAAATAGGATATTGTTGGTAAGCTTTGTTTGACCACTAGCTTGAAGGCCACAGCTGTCAAGAACAGTGTGATGCAGATGCTTATACGATCACCATTGTTGGGTTCGATGGAAACCACGGTGAAAGTCAGCGAGACTATCAGAATCTGGAAGGAGGTGATATAGTGAATTGCATCCAGTATAGTTATAGAATATGTCAGTGTTGTGTGAGTGAGTGAGTGAGTGAGTTTGGTTTTACGCCGCTCTTAGCAATATTCCAGCAATATCACGGCCGGGGACACCAGAAATGAGCTTAACACATTGTACCCATGTGGGGAATCGAACCCGTTTCTTCGGCGTGACGAGCGAACTCCTTAACCACTAGGCTATCCCACCGCCCCCAGTGTTGTGTATGGACAGTTGGCTCATGTGATTGATTCATTCAACTTCAAATGCTAATGTTGTCTGAACAATGCAGTTAGTTGTATGTAGTTATATCCAAATAAAATATAACTTCTGGCTTGAGAAAACACACAACTAACATTTGCAACCCATACACATAGCTTCCTTTATCTAAAACTTATGTTGCATTACAAATTAATCATGTAGGTCTGTGAAATAAATCTCATGCAGTACAACTTTAAAACTATATCACATGAACACCTTCTTCCCATATATTTTATATTTTAACCAGGTAGTCTTCTTGACTGCATAAATACTGAAGATGTTGTGTCCACCTGTGCTATTCAAACATTCAGTGGCTTTGTCCTATTATGTCATGCAGTCTTATGTCAGAAAAATGCCATATCAGTTATTCTTTAAGATATATCAAGTATGATGTCACTGATATCTGAATAAGTGCATGCTTGAGAAAACACATGGTGGCATTGATGTTTGAGCAAACAGATGAAGCAGCACCTTTAAGCTCATCAGATGTGTTTCATGATTTCCCTGATTAAGTTATGCTTTCGATTTCCATCTTGTCCATTTCTTAATTCATTCTAAAATATTTAAAATTCTATAGTCCTTTTGCATATGCTTTATTAACTTACTACATCTCAAATGAAATCAAAATAACATTAATACATAAAATATTTATTAATGAATTGTTTTATCCATAAATTCACTGTATGAACAGGGTTTGAACATATGTTAAGATAAGGAAAGGGTTGGTGACAGATCCATGTGGAATACCACTTTTGCCATTGGATAGATGCCAAAGGATACTTTTTGCAGACTACTAAAATTTAAAAATTCATTTTTAAACCCAAGGCATGCAAGAAATTTCTGTACCCTTGAATTGTCTTTTCAACTCTACATCAGATAAGCCATGGCACATAGATTTACTTTAAAGGCAGCATGGGTAGCCTAGTTGTCACAATTTAGTGTGCAGAGTTTTGTCCCTTGGCCACTCCATAAACTTGGGTTTGAATCCAGGTTGCCCTAGTTATATTCAAAGTATTTCAGCAACATGCTTGTTCTAGTTGGGTTACTTCAAAGTGGACAATGCCTAAGACTTGCATCACTACTAGATTAGATTTCCTTCCATATTTATCTCACACACAATGAGATACATGTAGCTTGAAAATACTGTTTAAAGCAGTGTATAACTCACTCACTTATTCACTCACTCACTCACTCACTCAGCACTGGTATACTTATAACAACACAAAGAATAATTACAAATCTTGTCATTGAACTTACCATGATGACAATTATGTTCCAAATGTAGAAGCCAACCTTACGCTTGACCCTACACTGAACATGAAGGATGGGATGGGAAGACAAACTTGCATATTCCATGGTGGTCTTGTCACGGAATGATTCTACATGGTTGTAGATATTCCACTCCTGAGCATCAAGAAATGTATATGTGTTGACGGTACTGAGCATGTGTTGGTCCTCAATCAGTTCAATTTTGTTGATTGGTCGCTCTGTGCCAACTTGAATTGTCAAATCCTATAAAGATTTTATGAAAACTCACTCTTCCAAAATTCCAAAAGTATTTTTGTTTTTATATATATATATAAAAATAAAACAATTCTTTGCATGCTGATATAAAGTACATGTAGATTGTAACAACTTTAATAAATGACATATTATAAAATAGCATTTAACCTTTCCTATGATTATGTTTCAGTCTTTAAATAGTAAGCATTTGCACCAAACAAATCTGATGTAAGGAGTATAAGCAAAGGAAAATTAAACTTTAATTTATCAAAGATGCTTTGTACTAATATTCCCTTAAGTCATGTGATATTTCATATATAGCCACTTAGTAATTCTATTTGTATATTTTCTTTGTGGACAGATCATCCCACTCTAAATATCACAAATGGGGAAAAGAATGAACCTTTTAAGGACAGTCCTTTATTCTTCCCGAAAAATCTGAAGACTATTGGTAGCAGTTGAAAGAGATGTAGACTTTACATTTCCTTTATAATACACCTGACCAAATATCATTTTAGGTGATTATGGAACAATGTTCTTAAAAATTTCAGTTGTACAGTTCTAAAACAAAGTAGGAAAAGAAGCAGAATTTAATGAGAAAGTTTTCATGCCAAATAACAACCTATTAACTTAAATTTTACATACAATCTGCAATAAGACAATTCTATATGGCATAGCTGATTCCTGTCTATACACTACCTGCACATCAAAAGGAAAGTGTTCCAATTCCATATTCTCTCGAAATGTTCCTTTAAATCTCCACAGCTGTAGAACAACTGGATGTTTGTAGTTTTGATCATGCCTAACTGAGAACGTCTTGCGATCAAGACACATATCTTCACAGTTTAGAATTAATAACTTAGGATCCCAGTGAATCTTTGGGTCAAACTTGGGAAGTTTCTGAAAATAACAATGAGTTTCAAAGTATAAATCATGTAGTTGTCTTTTGACACATGTCATCATTATACTAATTGCGTAGATCAATGCCCATGATGTTGATCACTGGACAGTCTATTTCAAACTTGATTATTTACAGACCGCCACCATATTGCTGGAATATTGCTGATTGAGGCATTAAACAACAAACACAGACACAGTAACATTATAAACAAAAATTCCTTGTTTTCAAAATATGCCTGTTGTATACATTGATTGCAATCATCATTTTCTACAGGTCTTTTCCTTTATCTGATAGCAAGAAACTCATACTTCAGGTATGTTTGACATATATATGTTACAGCTATAATGTAATACATACATTTGCTTTGCCTTGAGGTTTTGAAAAAGCTGGTTCTTCCCATTTTGCCTGGACAAATATCTCAGCTTGAAATTGTTGGGTAATTGTGTCAATGTCAACTATCTTCAGGAATGCACATTTCAGCTCAACTGTTACCTGAAGTAGGCATAACAATTTTTTAAACCATAAGTAGGAGTAGGATACTGGAGTTATCACAACATAAATATATGTTTACAGATTTTAGCATGTTTATCTATCATTACAGTAGGCACATATTAGAAATACCAACGATTTCCAGTTTTAAGAATGATTATGTCTTATGCTTGTTCATCAGATCTTAATCCTCTGTATGAACAGCAATGGTCAAGTAAGGTGAACATTATTTATATTATGTGACCTTTTATCATTTGATTGTATATATAAGAAAGTTTGCATCATAACAAATCATTTTCTTGTATATGTCTACAGTATTAGTGAAATTATCTGAATACGTCTTTCAATGAAAAAAAGTCAAACAACATTTCTCTGATATTGAAATACCTTTTCTGCTTTAACGATATCGTGAAAACCTGAGGTTGGATCTCCTGTTATATCTTTCATTGTCTGTAAACTGGACAAAAGAACTTGACTATTCTGATCAAGCGTCACGCTCATGCGACGGAATGTGTCTGCCAAAGGTTTATTGGGGTCCATCGTTTGTCAGATCTCTGGAAGTGAAACGACACAATTATCAACTGTCTAATTCCTTACTGAATTACTAACTGACGTTTTCGAATATGTATGTTCACCTTTAAAATATACACGTGAAACGGTAGTTCTTGTTCTCAGCGAAACAATCTAGAGCTACTTACTTAATAAGTTTTAGAAAAAGTATCAGCCTATTAGGAAACGTTCGCGACATGTTCGGTTATGTACAGCCAGGGATTGGGAAAGGACGGGCCATGGGCCATTTTGCACATTAGAATACAAAATGGACCATTAAAATTTTGAAGTTTACTATTGATACAAGGGTAGTGGCCCATTCTAAACTAGAAAATGGCTAATAATCCTGAAAATGGCCAATATGTCAAAGTTCTCTATCCCAATCCCTGTACAGCGGGGGTATGCTGTAATGAGCTAATCAAATATTGTCACATATTTCTTATCTATAACAATACCGATTACCAAAACACACTAACTGGTAAGTTAAACCTTCGACGGGTAAAGCAACTGGAAAATTCAAACCATGTTCATTCAGCGTCACAATGGCTAGCAGACGAATTTCTTCAAAGGGAGGTAATACACAAACTATACGAAAACATCCACTAGTGAAAGGAGTGCCAGCCCACCCACCACCCACCACCCAGATTGACATATTATTACATTGCGATTAGCTGCTAAATATAGCAAATATACTTTTCTCAGATGAAGGTAATCACTTTTATTTGGCCCAGCCTAAATACGCTATTTAAAGGATGAATACCGTTTGTTTGTTTCAATTTTGCGTTGACCTCATGATCGATTATTGTCAAGTCCCGTTTAGTAATATAAAGAAGTAATGTTTTTACCAAAATTGCTGATTTTGGTTGATGGTGCTTTCGACCACATTTAGTGAAATCACGTCATACACATTGTATCAACATATGAAAACGCATACATTGTAAATATTCGAGTGATGACCAGACCATATCAATTATCGATATTATATGAGAATCAGACAGCAGAGGTTCAATGACACTCAGTCTCAATGTACTTCAATGTAAATATATCTGGAGTGTAATTGTATCAAATGCAATGTTTTGACTGTCACCAGGTTCAGTATGGAGTCGATTAGATTCAGTCGCCCTGTACAAGCTTAAATAGCTGGCATCTTTTTCCAATGTCTTATATTCAAACCACAGTAATATTAAGATCACTATGCATATAACTTGATCGATTTGGTTAAGTTTACACTGTTGATACTGGTCTCATGTATGTTCTGATGATATGTATACTATAAGTTACAGGAGGGTATGTTCTCTCTTCTCCACATATATTTTGTATGATCCATCAACCGAAGAGATAGAGCGAGTATAGATTACGCCGCTTTTATTTCAGCAATATCATGGCGGGGGACACCAGAAAATGAGCTTCACACATTGTACCCATGTGGAGAATCGAACCCGGGTCTTAGGCGTTACGAGCCAACACTTTAACCACTAGGCTACCCCATCGCCCCTCCATCAGTGGAAAGCCTTCAGCGATTACTGCTGTGTGGCACGGACTCTGAGAACCATTGGTTATTATAAACATATGGATCATCTTCTCATTTACTGAAGAGAATAAAGTGTCGTCTGTCGTGTCCGTCCACTCCCCAGAGAGATTAACTTCGCCTCCGAGGCAGTCCTGACAGGAATTGTCTCCCTTGGGTGGCGGTAACGTTTACTGCTCATATTGGAGCAGAATAGACTAGACTGGATCTCATTGTTTCTTTCTAAAATAACTCGAGACCTTATAAACGATCACTATCATAACCTGCTCCAAACCAAATACAATTTGCAACATTTCTCAAGAAAATGCTGCCTTTACGTTTCAGGACTGAATTTTTTTCATATATATGTTAAATGCGCCCTTGCCCGAAAAAAAAAACCCATTAAGACAACACCCGTTTTGAAATGATTTCATGGTAACTTCGACAGAAGTAAAATTGAGGAACAATATATGAAGACGTTATCTCTGATGACGGAGACCTGATGACAAATGTATGTTTAACGTTGTGACTTTGTATAGTACAGGCTTCTTATAGCAAAAACATTGTTACCTTGAAGTAATGTGACTGTATATTATCAAAAGGTCTAAGATGGAGAGTTGACAATAGCTCAAATACAACAAAATAGGTGTGATTGCATGCTAGCTATGTCTTGTTAAAACACATTGTATGCAGAAAGAGATTGTTTTAAAATCGTCGGACGTAAGATCTTCCAATGAGAAATCAGCTCATATGATATATCCCACATGTAGCAATATCCCATATGATATATCCCACATGTAGCAATATCCCATATGATATATCCCACATGTAGCAATATCCCATATGATATATCCAACATGTAGCAATATCTGGGAGGGTATATAACGCAGATTATCATAGCTATTGAGGGGTCACACATCTAATACTGGACGATAGACTGAAAGTATCCTATTCAAACACTGTACTAATAATAAGCACCGCTCAGTTGTTAAAGACCACATTATTATGTATGCTTGTGGTGGCATTGTAAAACAATATTAGAACCATGGCAATTAATGCTGAAACAGGTGAACACTGGCCAATTGTTCACAAATGTTAGATGTGTTCATAATCGTATTGTCCAAACACAGTAAGTTGTCAGATGTGTTCATAATCGTATTGTCCAAACACAGTAAGTTGTCAGAAGCAGAACGTGCAAATCGGGACACGTTTGTAGTGAGTGAGTTGAGTTTTATGCCGCTTTAGCGATATTCCAACAAAGTCAAGGCGGGGGCACCAGAAAGGTGGGGAATCGAACCTGGGTCTTCCGCGTGACGCGCGAACGCTTTAACCACTAGGCTACCCCACCTCCCCGCGGTAGACACGGTTTTAATCCCCATTAACAATAGTGAATGACAAGAAACACGTGTAACACGTGCTGAAAATCAAGGCAGCGCTACTGAGATGCCCCCAACTGGCAATAGTCAACGTCACTCAGAGTGTGACTGTGTGGCGGCGGTGGCAGGCCACTGGATGGAACAGGTAATGTTATCGACGCCCTGATAGTCCTAGGGTCACAACACCAGATACTCGTGTCATACATCCGGGGTGTTACAGCTAGTCATGTCCACAAATGTTGGTATGTATGTAATGCTGGTACCTACTGAACTCATTCATACATACATACCAACATTTGTATAGCGCCGATATCCAGCTCAGCTGCTCAAAGGCGCTTTGCTTTTCCCTCGATCACCGGATGTCAATCTCAACGGCACGTCGTATTAGTGATTTTAAGGCAATTCGACCCACTGAAATCGCAAATTGGAGTGACTGTGTCAGCACAGTGAACCCACAATCTGTTCTTAAATTAGATCATTCCTTTTTGACTTGGAAACTTAACATTATGTACGATGAATCTCTGTCTACGAGGCAGATGGAACCAGAAGCGGAAAAGAAAATTTTATGTGACGTGTCCAATCTTCCAAATACTTTCATGACTTCGTCTGATATCTCTGAATATATTGCTGACATTATTGCTTCTCTTGAATCTTCCCAGGCAACACAGGATAATATCGACAATGCTTTTACTGATTTTTTAGAATGTGTCCGGAGTGAGATGCATAAAACTCTTCTCACTAGGACTGTATTAGTTGGTGGAGTCCGTAGTAACAAGAGACGAAGAAGTCGAAAGGAATGGTGGACTAATGAACTATCTGAGTTATGGAATGAAATGTGCAGAGCTGAGAAGCAGTGGTGTAAATGCAAAGGTGTACAGAGGAGACTTTTTAAACACGTGTATATTAAGAAGCGTAAATACTTCGACAGACGGGTTAAAAAAGCCAAGAGAGACTCTCAGATTAAAATAATTTAAAACCTAGATAAACTATGTGAAAATAATTCGGGTGAATTTTGGAAAACAATTGGTAAGGTTGGAGTGGGGCACGAGAGAAAGAAACAGATTCCTATGGAGGTGCGTTTGGAAGACGGGTCTATCTGCACAGATAAGGAGACTGTTTTAAACACCTGGAAATCAGCGTATTCTAATCTTTTAAATTGTAATGTTAGTGTGAACCCTGATCGATCTCCCTGTCTTGAGGGTGATCCGGATAGTGAACTGAACCAACCTATATCTATTGATGAGGTGAGGCAAGTAGTGCTATCTGCAAAGGGAGGTAAATCACCTGGCCTAGACGAGATCCCAACAGAAGTACTGAAGGATGACAACACTTTGATGTTCTTTCATAGACTTTTTAATCAGTGTTCTCTCTATGGCATAGTTCCACCAATGTGGGTGAAGAGCGTCATAACACCCATACCTAAATCATCGACTGACGACCCCAGAGACCCCCTGGCTTACAGAGGCATCAACCTTGCAAGTTCTTGTTACAAACTGTACCGTGTTTGTTTGAACATATTTTATTCAGTGCTGAAATGGATTGGGCACAAGTTATGTAACTTATTACCGCCCGCTCCCATCAGAAACATGAACAATAATGAACAATAATGATTGGACGTAATGGATGGACATAATAATATTGAGACATATTATTGATTAATTGAAGCGCTTACTTCGTACAATGTATTTATGCACATATGTCTAAAGTACCACTGTACTGTGGTATACTCAATGACAGACTCACCTCTTTTGCAGAAAATAACCAGCTAGTTAGTGACTCTCAGAACGGGTTCAGGAAGGGTAGATCCACGCAAGAACATGTATATAGTGTCACCTCCATTATAGAAACACGCAAAAGGATGAAGAAATCTACATATGTCGCTTTTATTGATTTTAGACAGGTCTATGATTGCATAGATCGAAACGTGTTGTGGGAGAAACTCAAAAACAAAGGCATAAAAGGCAGTAAGCTAAAATCTCTTTTATCCTTGTATAGAGATGTACAGTGCTGTATCCGACTTAACGGTCTTCTGACACCCTTTTGCAATGTTACATGCGGTTTGAAACAAGGCTGTTTGCTCTCGCCTCTCCTGTTTAACCTGTATATTGATGGTTTGTTACGCACAATAGACTGACTGACTGACTGAGGTTAGTTTTACGCCGCTTTTAGCAATATTCCAGCAACATCACGTCGGGGGACACCTGAAATGGGCTTCACACATTGTACCCATGTGGGGATTCGAACCCGGGTCTTCAGTGTCACGAGCGGACGCTTTAACCACTAGGCTACCCCACCGCCCCTACGCACAATAGACGCTCTCAATATAGGTGTATCTATAGATAATAATACAGTGGGAATTCTGGCATATGCGGATGATATCATTTTGTTGGCTGAGAAGGAAGAAGATCTTAATATCCTACTCGACTGCTTACATAGCTGGTGTGTTTCAAACAGAAACAGTGCAACAGTGCAAAATCGAAAGTAATTAACTTTAGATCACAGACTGTACCAAAAACAAGTATCATATTTATGTGTGGAGAGAGTGTTTTAGAAACTGTTGAGAATTACTGTTACTTAGGTTTGCTTCTCACAGGATGGCAAAATCTGCAGCTAATTTGGCAGGAGGGCGCTTGGCCTTTTGATATCTAAATACAAATTGCTT